AAAATAGTAATGTGTCCAGACATTTGACCAGTACTGCATATAAACAAAAGACATCCTCTCGCTTTCAACTGTTTCCAGCAAATGTATTAATATGTGATCAATATCAAAAGCAGCAGGCTGGCAATGAGCAGCTTTACTACATTGCATTTCATCCTCAGGTCCTCAAACACATCTGGGTGTTCATATGGGCACATGTGGTTTGGCACCGAGCGACAACATCATTCTGCTCCTACCAAACTGCTTCGTGTGTGACGAGTCTAGCGCGCTCTCAGGAGCTTTTTGTGTTGGCGGACGGCACTTCAGCGGTGGTCGTTCCTGTGTCGAGTGGGTTGCACACTTCAGGCTTGCTGCAAGCGGCCAGGCGTTGCCTCCGTTGCCTCTGCCGCTATCCAGTGTTCGTCCTGGCGGTAGCGGCGGGCGGTTCGAGAGCGTCAACAAAGGCCCTACTCACGTAACCTCTGCCAAACTGTCTAACCAGGTAAGCATTGCACTGCACACTCAGACCCCTCTTCAGTACGCTCACAAGCTGCCCGAGTTGGGTCCCTGCATTCCACCTCGCTGCCCCACTGCGGGTACGGCGGTGGTTCCGCTGGTCCCACTTGCACAGTATCTGGGTGCCTGGCTAGCGCTACCCAGCCCGTTTCGTTGGCTTCTGCGGACCACCAGCCTCGGCTATGCGATTCAGTTCGCCCGGCATCCCCCCAAGTTCAGTGGCATCCATTTCACGATAGTGACGGCGGCCGATGCTCCTTTCTTGCGTGCGGAGATCGCAGTCCTACTGGTAAAGGATGCGATAGAGCCAGTCCCTCCAGCCGATATGAATACAGGGTTTTACAGCCCTTAATTCATTGTACCCAAGAAAGGTGGTGGGTTATGACCAATCTTTGATCTGCGTGTCTTGAACTGGGCCCTTCGTCGGTTTCCGTTCAAGATGTTGAAACAGAAACGCATCTTCGGGTGCATCCATCCCCAAGATTGGTTTGCAGCGATCGACCTGAAGGATGCGTACTTTCATGTGTCGATCCTTCCGTGCCACAGACCATTTCTGCGGTTCGCGTTCGAAGGACAAGCATATCAATACAAGGTCCTGCCCTCCAGGCTGTCCCTGTCGCCCTCTGTCTTCACGTAAGTTGCGGATGCAGCCCTTGTTCCCCTGAGAGAACAGGGCGTTTGCATTCCCAACTATTTCAACGACTGGCTCATACTAGCTCAGTCTCAGCATCAGTTGCACACAGGGACTTGGTGCTTTCGCACCTCAGCTGGTTGGGCTTTCAGGTCAACTGGGAAAAGAGCAAACTCTCCTGGGAGAGGATCTCTTTTCTCAGAATGGAGTTGGATTCAGTCAAACAGACAGCACGCCTCAGTGAACGTGCGCGGTCAGTGCTGTACTGCTTGAATTCATTCAAGGATAGGACAGCGGTCCCACTGAAACTATTTCAGAGGCTCCTGGGGCATTTGGCAGCTGCAGCGGCAGTTACACCACTGGGGCTGCTTCATATGAGACCACTTCAGCACTGGCTTCATGGCCGAGTCCCGAGGTGGGCGTGGCAACGCGGCACTCACCGGGTCCAAGTTACACCGGCCTGTCGCCAAACCTTCACCCCATGGTCAGACCTTGCGTTCCTCCGGGCAGGAGTGCCCCTAGAACAGGTCTCCAGGCATGCTGTGGTTTACATGGATGCCTCCACCACCGGCTGGGGGGGCCACGTACAATGGGCATGCAGTGTCTGGGGTGTGGACGGGCCCCCAACTGCACTGGCATATCAATTGCCTGGAGTTGTTAGCGGTGCGCCTTGCCTTGAACCGTCTGAAAGGGCGTTTATGAGGCAAGCACGTGCTGGTCCAAATGGACAACACGGCGACCGTTGCGTACATCAACCGACAAGGTGGTCTGCGCTCTGTTCTACTCCCTGATCGAGGGAACACTTGGCACGGACGCACTGGCACACAGTTGGCCGCGGGGCCTGCGCAAGTATGCTTTTCCCCCAGTGAGCCTTCTCGCATAGATGCTGTGCAAGGTCAGGGAGGACGAGGAGCAGGTCCTGCTTGTGGCGCTGTATTGGCCCACTCAGACCTGGTTCCCCGAACTAATGCTTCTCTCGACAGCCCCTCCCTGGCAGATTCCTCTGAGGAAGGATCTACTGACTCAGAGACGGGGCACCCTGTGGCACCCATATCCAGACCTCTGGAAACTTCATGTCAGCGAAGGCTGTCTCCCTCCACCCTTAAGGTCTATGTCACTGCGATTGCTGCGAACCATGACCCCGTGGAAGGGAAGTTGGTAGGGAAGCATGATCTGGTCATCAGGTATTTTAGGGGGGCGAGAAGGTTAAATCCTCCCTGGCCCTCATCTATACCCTCTTGGGACCTGTCTCTAGTGCTCAAAGCACTACAGCAGGGCCCATTTGAGCCTTTGCAGTCAGTCGAGCTAAAGTTTCTTTCAATGAAAACTCTGCTCCTGCTTGCACTGGCCTCCATCAAGAGGGTAGGGGACCTGCACGCATTTTCGGTCGACGATTCGTGCCTAGCGTTTGGGCCGGCTGAGTCCCAGGTAATCCTGAAGCTGGACATAAAGCTTTAGGACCTCAGACCAGCTCTTTGTTTGCTACGGAGGCCGGCAGAAGGGGAATGCCATCTCTAAGCAGAGGATGACCCACTGGATAGTGGATGAAGCTCCTCCGTCCCCTCGGCAACCAGACGTGGCGGAACGTCCGGCACCAAGCCCTCACTCGCTGAATCCGTGAGAACCGGTAGAGGGCTGGGTTCCATATGTAGAGACCTAAGTGGATCCCATATGTGTAAAGTCCACGGTATAGCCTCAGAGCCTGTGTTTCCCCAGCAGACTTCTGCCATTTCCAAGAGGGTAAAAATCACCTCTAATCAAGTGCTTCCGAAACCACCTTCGGGAAGGATGGGGCTTCCACAACATTCCTGTTCCAAGTGGAACGGGTACGTTTTCCCAGTGTTATCCAATCTCACTGAGTGGGTAGTGCTATGACAACAGTGACTGATCTTCTTGAATGAATGAATTAATTAATGAGACATTTATATAGCACTTTATTGTGTATTGCTGTACACCCAAAGCGCTTTACAATTATATGGGGGGAGGGGGGTCTCTCTTCAACCACCACCAGTGTGCAGCATCCACCTGGATGATGCAACGGCAGCCACAGGACAACGGCGCCAGTACGCTCACCACCCACCAGCTACAGGCGGAGAGGAGAGAGAAAGATAGAGCCAATTCAATGGATAGGGATTATTAGGAGGCCATGATTGACAAGGGCCAGTAAGGGAATTTGGCCAGGACACCGGGCTTACACCCCTACTCTTTTTACGAGAAGTGCCATGGGATTTTTAATGACCATAGAGAGTCAGGACCTCGGTTTAACGTCTCATCCAAAGGACGGTGCTTTTTACAGTATAGTGTCCCATCACTATACTGGGGCGTTAGGACCCACACAGACCACAGTGTGAGCACCCCCTGTTGGCAACACTAAAACCTCTTCCAACAGCAACCTCGTTTTCCCAGGAGGTCTCCCATCCAGGTACTGACCAGGCTCAACCCTGCTTAGCTTCAGTGGGCAACCAGTTTTGGGCTGCAGGGTGATATGGCTGTGTTCTTGTTGCGAGCCCCGGCCTACACCACAAAGGGGCGCAGACGGCTCGCACAGGACACTGGAAGGGGTAGCATCCATGGCGTTTTGGTAGGGATCCCAATTCGTCAGTCGACACGTGACTCGGAGTGACCGACTGAAAGGAAACGTCTCTGTTACGTATGTAACCCTCATTCCCTGAAGGAGGGAACAGAGACGTCACGTCCCGTCGCCACGGCTGCTGTACCACCGCTGAGCGGCCGGGTCACCAGCTCGGCTCCTCAGCTAAAACCTGGTATGCGTTGCACCGGCTGCCTTTTTGTGCTCACGCTGTGATTGGCGGCAGCTGGATGCAATCATTGCATGCCAATGTGCAATGGCTCGTTTGGTTTGCACTCGAAGTGGATTGGTCTCTCTAAGCGAGATCCAAATTCGTCGGTCACCAACGTGACGTCTCTGTTCCCTCCTTCAGGGAACGAGGGTTACATACGTAACCGAGACGATTTGTGCCTATAATGTTTAAAACATAAGTGGAAGATCAATGTACCTCATTCATGGAAAGTCTCTGTGATTTACTGAACATTAAACATTTTACTTTAATTTCAGAGTTGACTGAAAAAATTAAGGAGAATGAAGAACTGAATGAAGAGGAGGAAAAACATAATGTCAAAACTGGAGAAAAACATTTGAGTCGCTCTCAAACCAAACAGAAAGATTTAAAGAAAATAAGAGACGATAAATCTTTCACCTGCACTCAGTGTGGAAAGATTTTGACAAACAAACAGTCTCGAGATTCACATGAGAGTTCATGCGGGAGAGAAATTGTTCACATGTAATCAATGTGGAAAAACATTTTTGTGGGCTTCAACCCTGAAGAGTCACCTGAAAGTTCATACGAAGGAGAAACCACATTTATGTTCTTTGTGTGGAAAGAGTTTTTCACTGCTGCAGAATTTAAAACTTCATCATAAGATACACACTGGTGTGAGAGATCATATGTGCTTTGAGTGTGAGAAGACTTTTATTACAGCTACACATTTGAAACGGCACCAGAGGATGCACACTGGAGAGAAACCTTACACGTGTGATCAGTGTGGTATGAGTTTCAGACAAAAAACTAAACTTAAGGTGCACATGAACATCCACACTGGAGAGAAACCATTCACATGTGATCAGTGCGGGAAGAGTTTTGCAGAATCAGCAAAGCTGAAGAAACACATGAACATCCACACTAGAGAGAAACTGCATGAATGTGATCAATGCGGAAAAACATTTTTGTGGTCTTCAGGCCTGAAGAGTCACCTGAAAGTTCATTCAAAGGAGAAACCACATTCATGTTATGTATGTGGAAAGAGATTTTCACATCTGCAGAATTTAAAACTCCATAAGAAAATACACACTGGTGTGAGAGATCATATGTGCTTTGAGTGTGAGAAGACTTTTATTACAGCTACAGAATTGAAATAGCACGAGAGGATCCACACTGGAGAGAAACCTTACATGTGTTCACACTGTGACAAGAGATTCAATCAATCAGAAACCCTGAAAAGACATGAGAAGATCCACACTGGAGAGAAACCTTACACATGTGATCAGTGTGGGAAGAGTTTCAGACATAAAGATCAACTTAAGGTGCACATGAGAGTTCATACCGGAGAGAAACCATATCACTGCACTGCATGTGGGAAGAGTTTTGCTCAATTAATTTCTTTACAAAAGCATACAAAAAAAATTCACAGTAAATAGATTATCTTCAGATCCAGCATTGTCAGGTCTGACACCAAATCCAAACCAAACATGACACAATAATATGTTGATCTATACATTTGCTTCTGTAAAAATCAGTCCTAATCAGCATAACAATTGACAGGGAAGATAAACATCATCTGTTGTTTTCACAGTTAATGAAGTTCATCTATAAGACCATCAGTTTGAAATCTGTGAGATTCAGATCAACTCAAAGATGAAGTTTCATATCTAAAGAACAATATAATTTTTTTTTAATATATATAATTTTCATTTGTGATATGTAATTATATTATTGTGTGCTCTTATGAGTTGTATATAATGTGCCATTTTTTATACTGCAGATGTATCACTTCTAGTTTGTTTGCTCTTTTATGAAGGAAAGTAGTTGGAAAGTAGTACAAACTTTTCTTGTTCAGGAATTGCACTCGGCCGATAGTGAACCCACGGACACAAACTCGTCAGTTCTGAACTTACTCAGAGGATGCAGAGTGGTTATAATACCTTTAAGTGAGCTACACCCTGCATGCTCATGACAAAAAGTGTATTTTTCCCTATAACCACGAGAGCTACACCGTGTTAAGCCAGTGACAGTCAGAAATCAGAAGATCCCTAATGGGGTTCCCCATGGTTCATCCACCGGTGCTTCAGTATGATCTGTCCTGAACGCAGATTTGAGGAAATACCACTACACATTAATCTACATGAAAAATGATTTCAGAAGAGATCAGAATAAATCAAATATAACAGTTTATTATTAGTCAGGTAAAATTGCATCATGCCAATTACATAATGAAACAATTAGAAGCCAATTTAAAAAGGATAATGCAATTGTGAAACATATTGTATCCGCGTGGCAACGCTGCTCCTGTACATAGATACTGTAGCTATATGGAAAATAGCCCAGTGTTCCACGCAGGAGACAAACAAATCTAACATAGTCACACATGTAACAGTTATCCTAATTTAACAGAAAACACACGGTCTAAAATGCATAGCATCAACAACCTTTTACCTAAGTATTTCAAAGAACACACAGCAAAGTAATCGTGTGTTTTAGAGAATAAACTTGACTAGCCTATGTGCACATGTAGTAGCACAAACAACTATACAGTGTGCTCTATGGGCACAATGTGTTTAACACAATTACATTTTTGAATCGTACCTGACAGCAGAGAGACATACAGCAGCGAGAGTTCTGGTGCTGAGCTCCAGAGACTCTCACACACTGCATGGGGGTTTTTCTGGTTTTAGAGAATAAACTTGACTAGCCTATGTGCACATGTAGTAGCACAAACAACTATACAGTGTGCTCTACGGGCACAATGTGTTTAACACAATTACATCTTTGAATCATACCTGACAGCAGAGACACACACAGCAGCAAGAGTTCTGGAGCAGACCTCCAGAGACTCTCGCACACTGCATGGGGTTTTTTCTGACTACAGAATCCCAAAGTAGTGTTTTGTCACTTCCCTTATATACCCAAATAAGAAAAACAAAGAAATCTTCAAATCAGTTTTAAAAACATAAAATACCTTTTGGTTTTCTAGGTTCTCGTGACCTAGGGTCGCACCTGGCTGGAGATATATAAACATTCCCACAGACCCCTAAAGAGGAACACACCCCTAAATTCTACAAAAGTTTTCAATATTTCTCATAATACAAGTGACTACTGTGAAATTGAGACCATTTTACCAATCGCACAGAGACCTTTAGAACGATATCAAACATGAAGGGGAAAAACAACAGATTTACAAGATACAGGTGCATCTCAATAAATTAGAATGTCGTGGAAAAGTTAATTTATTTCAGTAATTGAACTAAAATTGTGAAACTCGTGTATTAAATAAATTCAATGCACACAGACTGAAGTAGTTTAAGTCTTTGGTTCTTTTAATTGTGATGATTTTGGCTCACATTTAACAAAAACCCACCAATTCACTATCTCAACAAATTAGAATACTTCATAAGACCAATAAAAAAAAACATTTTTAGTGAATTGTTGCCCTTCTGGAAAGTATGTTCATTTACTGTACACGTACTCAATACTTGGTAGGGGCTCCTTTCGCTTTAATTACTGCCTCAATTCGGCTTTCCACGACATTCTAATTTATTGAGATGCACCTGTACATGATATGTGGAATATGCATATTCCTAATGAACTTTGAGTGAAACCTTTTGGGGGAAAAGAGGGAGAGGCAGAGAGGGCAGGAGGAGAAGAGGGTCACCAGGAAACAAGTTATTCTTTTTCCTTTTGGATTTTAAAATTCTTCTACTTAATCATCTCCTCTTCATCTGTCAGTGGTGCTGGTGCAGGTTCTCCCCTCATTTTGCGAGCCTTTGCCTTCTTGCTGTCGACTGAGTAGTCTACAAGTCAGTTGTTAATTTCATTACTCTAATTAAGAAATGTAACAGGTTTGATTAGAGAATATTTAATAAGCCTATGTGAAAAAAGCGTTAAACTATGTGGAAAAAACCTGCTGCGCATTGAAATAGTTACTGAATAATATTTAATATGTCAAATGTTTTCAACGTCATGTAGCCTACACCCATGAAACTGTTATGCTTAAAGCTTTACCTTGATTGAATTGTCATTTACTATTCTCTGTTTGTTACTTAATTTTTTTTTTTTTTTCCTTTATTCAGTTCCATCACACAAAAGGACAATGCAAACAGGGAAACGTTGCACATCTCAAAGCATATGTAACGGGTTTGATTAGAGAATATTTAATAAGCCTATGTGAAAAAAGCGTTAAACTATGTGGAAAAAACCTGCTGCGCATTGAAATAGTTACTGAATAATATTTAATATGTCAAATGTTTTCAACGTCATGTAGCCTACACCCATGAAACTGTTATGCTTAAAGCTTTACCTTGATTGAACTGTGTTTTTATAATTCATTTTTAGATGCTGCTACAATCTTCTTTTTTTTTGCCGGGATACCATGAAAATGAAATTTAGTTAAATAATTTACCGTTTTTACCTCTGATATTATAACAGTGATTAAGAATTAAAGTTATTTATTGACTCGGAAGTATGCAGATGTTTTTTTGTTGGTGCTGTTGCCATGGTGAATCATAATTTCGGAGCTCCATTGATCATGACTTCTCATATTCGTGGTGCACACGCTAAACTCAGTCAACCTACTCAGAGTCGACTGAACTAGCACAATTTAGCTGTTCTGAAACCGAAAACTCAGAGTTTCCCATCTCAGGGTAAATCAAACTCAGAGTTTGAGTTTCAACTTATTGAAACGGGCCCCTGGTATACTGTCTGTAACAGGACTTGTGGTATCGCACCTCCAGAGGCACAGAATCTTTGTGCACAATAATGCTATTTGTCTTCTTTCATCTCAGCCTATCACTTTCAGCATCTGGCCTGTAAATAAATAATAAAAAAAAAAAACCTATAATGAAATTAATTTGTAAATAATAACCATTAAATGAAAAACTGTGTTTGCAGTTAAACAATACTGAGTGTTCTGGCTGTAGCTGTATGCAAAACATCAACATGCAAATCTGACTCTGACTGTGCAATAATTATTAAATAAATAGTCTAATTGAAAGGTAGCCATGATACCCAGCATATGGCATAACAGTTCAAACGTGTGTGTGTACTTTGTTTTTACGTACCTGCTGAAAACGTTTCTGCCTGTGAAAGATGGTCCTTCTGGTGGTTGCCTGCCACAGTAATGTACTTGTCCATTTTCTTAAAATGTATGCACAAAGTAGAGAAAATGTTTGTATGTCTCTGCTATTTTCTGATTCTTATCCTGCAAGCCAAGCCACTGGTTAACACCGTTTCTTAATGTATCCACCGTGTGCGTGTAAAAGCGACCACCTTATTGATCTAGCAGGAAGCACGTGACACGAAGCCTCATCACTCACGATCAAAATACGATTACACCAGGAAAGAACTATTGTCGACTTTAAACTCTAATAAAAAATAAACTGCAGAATTACACATAGAGAACTTTTATTTTCTCACTCAAAACCAATAGATATTTTTATTGGAATGAATATAATGTAGTGCTCCATGTATGGGAACGGGATTAAACGAAAAACGGCTTCACCTTATGGCCTATACAATTATTTGTGGTGTTCCGCAGGGCTCCATATTAGGACCAACTTTGTTTTCGATTTATGTGTTATCTCTTGGATCTGTAATTTGAAGACAGGAAGTCTTCTGAGTAAGTGCCCATCATATATATCTATCATTAATATTGGCACATGGAAAAGTTCTTGTATTACTTATGTTAAAAATCACTTTTTACATGCTTAGTATAATTACTCAATATATAGAAAGCAATTATATAGTTTGAAATGTAGCATGTGTGATGGTGGTGCTCATGCAGGAGCAGCTTGTTTAGTGAGGAACACTTTTAATGGTGAACAATATTTCTCTACAAACTGTTAAATGGTTTGTAAAATGCATTATTTGGTTACTGTTCAGAAACTCAGTGATAAAGGACTAACATCATCACATGATCTGGGTTAATGAGGAATTTTATTATTTTTTTTATTTTTTTTGGTTTAGTCACCAGAAAATGTTAACAGTTGTCACCAGAAAATACAGTGTAATTTCAGAATAATGTTCAGATTATTAGAAAATAGATTACAGTAATCATGTAACAGATAATTCAATGAATACAACACCCAAAGTAAATAAAAGCTTCCTTTAAAACTCTCTCCAAACTGTTAGTTGTGATTTATAAGTGTCATTGTGATCACTGTTAGATTGAATCCCAAGTCAGAAATATTAGATCCACTTTATGCAAATATCAAGCAAAAAATGTGGGCGGCAGCCAATCACTGTAAGGTTCAGGTAGTGATGTCTGTCTTAATCGTTTAAAAATATGCAGAGTTTATGCTGGATTTGGGGAGTAAATCATATCGTTTACACACTGGATGCAATGCAGTTGCCATATACAGTTTGGATACTTTCATTGTGATTATACTGGTAAAGTTTATAAAAGTTTACTAAACTGACAGAATATATTTATATTGGACATTCAGAAACAAAGCTTTCCTCTTTCCAACTGTAATTGCGTGTATATGTGTTCATGTATATATATATATATATGATCCACTTTATGCAAATATCAAGCAAAAAATGTGGGCGGCAGCCAATCACTGTGAGGTTCAGGTAGTGATGTCTGTCTTAATTGTTTAAAAATATGCAGAGTTTATGCTGGATTTGGGGAGTAAATCATATTGTTTACACACTGGATGCATTGCAGATGCCATATACAGTTTGGATACTTTCATTGTGATTATACTGGTAAAGTTTATAAAAGTTTACTAAACTGACAGAATATATTTATATTGGACATTCAGAAACAAAGCTTTCCTCTTTCCAACTGTAATTGCGTGTATATGTGTTCATGTATATATATATATATATATTGGCCATACACTAAATTAAACTAGCGGCACTACAGTTTTGCACCTGCAGTGAACAATCACCGCTAGATTAAACAACAATAGCACGCACTACAAAATAACATATAATATATTAAGTAATATATTAAATGATTAAAATGTATAATAAATGATTATATTATTAAAAGGAATAGCTGAAAGAAAAAATGATTAACCTATATGATTAACTGAGTATAAATGAATACATTTCTGGTTTCTCTCTTTTAGCTACTCACAGAGGTTGCTATTAAGAATATGTAGATCCTGCATCAGCATCTCAGGTTTCATCCACTGGAGTGAGAGATTTTACAGTTCATGAACAGCTGATATTGGTGTTTCCCTAATGCTGGATACATTAGTCCCCTATAGTTCAGCTGAAGGAGTGAATGAAAATGAATGAGTGAATTCGGACAATGAGGCTTTCTGTGGCTCTAATCAAGTCTGTATGCTTTATATAGAATGCGTGTTTTCAACACAACTTTGATTAATTCTTGAAGTGAACTTCTGCCTATTCTGGTGATCTGCCCTAGACCAGAGAGAGATTTTCTTAACATCTAAAACAAATGGGAGACAGGCCAGAGAGATGGGTAAACCATCACCTAAAGGCTGGAATACACTACACAACTTTTAAAATCTGAACAGATTTTTAAAACACTAGGTATCATACATTTACCGACTTTGTAAATAGTAAAATAATAGAAAAACTGGCCATCATACACTACATGATTGAGGATCACACACTACCAGACATTTCAGTTGTTCCGATCACAACAAACTCATGCAGAAACATGCGCCTTGTTGCTGAGACGCATGAGAAATGAAAACAACATGTGTTGTAAAATCGGCTGAATATGTCAAACATGTTTGATATCCTCCGACTGGATGGAATCAAAGTCTGAAGCAAAAAAATCAGTCTGTAACCATCATACACGCGATTTTCAATGGAATCTGTCAACTCCCGTCTGTAGACTGACTTTCGGCAACTAGAGTCAACTTATCCAGACTGTAAATCGGCGGAAAATTGGGGCAAAAATTGTGTAGTGTGTTCCATGCTTAAGTTGAATGATGCAATGCCTAACCCAACTAAATCTGGATAATTTCTCACCCCTTCAAAAATATACTGAAACTGGGACGCTAGCTGATACAACCCAACATCTGGAACTGCAAGACCTCCTTTATTTCCAGGTTGCATCTTAGTCAGTTTCAGTCTTGGTTTCTCCTGGTTCCAAATAAAAGAGCTAAACCAGCCATTAATACGTTTAATTATAGTGCAATTTAGGAGAATTGGGATAATTTGAAATAAGTACAAAAATCATTGGTTCAATAAGCATAGCAAAAAAGCAAGGTTTACCCTGTCTAGAGCCTAATCCTAAGAAACTCTCAGAATGCCATTTGTAATAACTGCTGCTACTGAACTATCGAACATTGTCTTGACTAATTGTGTAAAAGTATCCCCCATCTCGAAAATATTAAATGTATAAAACAAAAACTCCCATTCAGCACAACGAATGCTTTTTCAGCATCTAAAGAAATAACCATACTATTAAGATTTTGATATTGCGATAACTTAATAATATTAAGCAATCTTCGCATATCACTAGAGCAGTATCTGTGAACGAACCTTGACATAATACTAGGCAGTATCTTATCTCTCAGACTGTAATCTCAGAGCATATATTAAAAATTAGACAACTTTTAGCTATTTCAAATCAGTATTCAGAAGGCTAATAGGCCTGTATGAAGAGCATGTATCCTCTGGTTTCCCTTTTTTAAGTATAAGACTAATATTAGCCTCTCTAAGAGATATAGTTAGAGAATTTAATTCAAAAGAAAAAATTAAACATCTGGAGCAGTGGTTCCAGTAACCAAAGGTTACAATTCTTTATAAAACTCTATGCTAAAATTGTCAGGTCCTGGCACTTTCCCTACCATCATTGTCTCACATCTCTTTCTCTTCTCCACTCGTCTTTCTTCATCCTCTCGTTTTCTTCTCTTCCACTCCTCTTTTCTCTCTCGCTCCAGCAGCTCATAACTTCTCTTCATTTCATTTATATTTTCTTCGTATTCTCTCTCTTTCTGTTCTCTCTCTCTTATCTGTTGTTTTTTCTCCTCCTCTCTGTTTTGTCTTCCTTCTTCTCTCTCTCTTTCAGAATTCATTCTCTTGTTCTCCAGTTCTTCTTGTTTTTCTCTCAGCTGTTCATTGTGTCTCTCTTTTCTCTCTCTTTCCTCGTCCTCTCGTTCTCTCATCTGTCGTTTCTTCTTTTCCTCCCATTCTCTTTGCTGTCGTTTAATTTCCTCTTGAGTCTCTTTGTCACTTTCTGCCTCTTTTATTTTTCTCTTCCATTCTTCTCTTTCTTTCTCTTCTTGTGTCTTCCTCATTTGTTCCTCTGAATCTCTCTTTTTTATTTCCTCTCCTTGTTTCATCTGTAATGCTGCTATAATATGGTCAAGTTCATTTGTAATTTTTCCTTGATCTTGTTTATATTCTTCTTCTCTCTTTCTATCTTCTTCTTCTCTTTCTTTAAGTTTTTTGTCATACTGTATTCTCTGATCTTCAATCTCTCTCTTCATCTTCTCTTTTCTTTGATTATATTCAGCTCTTTTCTGTTCCTCTTCTTCTGATTGTTTCTGATCCTCTGTCTCTCGTTTCTTCTGCTCTGATTTTTCTTTCTCCTCAAACTCTCTCCTGAGTCTTTCCTCTTGTTCTCTGAACTTGTTCTTCAGTCTCTCTCTTTCCTCTTCTCTCTTTTGTTTCTTCTCGTTCAGTCTCTTTCTCATGCTTTTGATTTCCATGTCATATTTGGCTTCAAATTCTTCAACTTGATTTTTTATCATTTCGCTTCTCTGTTCAATGGAGATCACTGCCTCCTCAAACATCTCATTAGTGAAATTTGGGCCCTGATTAGATTGCTTCATTTCTTCTATCATATTGAACAGATGAATAACTTGTGTCTGATCTTGTGTTTCTGTGTTGTTAAAAACCAGGAATCTGTTTCCACAGTCACTGATCAGTTTCTTGAGTTCAGCATTTTTACTTTTATCTACATATTCTTCTATTGTTTGTTTTCTCAGATCATCTCCTCTAGTGAAGAGAACAATGCAGAAATCTGCTGCTTTTGAGCCAAAGATCATCTTGATCATGTCTAAAGTCTCTTTCTCCTCTTGGGTGATTTTTCCCAGACTCACCACAATGATGAACGCATGTGGTCCAGGTGCTGACAGTGAAATACATTTCATTATTTCTTCCTGCACTAGTTCATTTGTCAGTGTTGTGTCAAAGAGTTCTGGAGTATCAATAACAGCTATTGATTTACTAGCAACTTCACCAATTCCCTTCTTACAAGTAGTGGTCACCAAACGTGAACTGGCTTCACTGTGAAACTCATTATTTCTGAGGATAGTGTTTCCTGTGGCAGACTTTCCATTTCCTGTCCTCCCAAACAGCAAGATTCTCAAACATCCTGAATCTGATGGTGAATCTTCATTATCTGAAAATAATAAATGAGTTTAGAGATTAGAGAGAGAGTGTTAAATGAGTGTTTACTATTTGCAACAGTCCATCTCAGTGGTTTTCAATGTTTTTATTTTTTGTTTTTTTTAGGGGTTCTGACATTTTTCTTGCAATTGAGAGTTTATATATCACAATTCTGACTCTTATCTCTATGATTATAATGGGTTCTATTTGCTTTTGACGTGACGTGATGCTTGCATCCATTCTAGACCAAAACCAAAATCTAGCCTGACCAAATTCCAGGTTTTTTTTTTTTTTCTGTTAGGACCACTATCGTCAAAGATGATTGACAATTAGCATACAGTGCATAACTTGTGGAGTCCATGACAATAATGTAGCGATGCGTGAAATAATGATAACTCAGTCACTTCCGAATCAGGCAGCGTGTTCAAGTTAACGAACTTGAATGAATCGGAGGTGAGACCATTGGGGAAGTGAATTCCACTTCTCTAAATTCCCTAAGCATGTTGCCCTTAACCAATGGCCAATCAAATATGTTGCCAAAAAAACCCGCATAACCTGTAGCAACAATTCTGTTGCATTTAACAGTTGACCAATGAATACGTTGCCAATACCTTAAAAGCTTAAGCAGCATTCTCAATAACACCAGCTAGACTTAAGAAAAACATGTTCCTGTTTGTCCTTATTAATTTTGTCACACATTCAATACCTCATCTCACATTGAACTGGGAAGACAAACACATATTACAGTAAAAGATTTCCTATATGTAAACATAAATACACTGTATTAATATTGCAACACTAATTTAAACAACAAGCACTAATGATTTTTAAGACCTGTCGCTTGCGTTGAGGACTTGCAACTCAGCTTGTGCAAAACCCACCAAGCCAGTCATTACGGACTTCAGTATCAAGGCGAGGAGCCTGAGTCTGCCTAAGGCTATGTTTACACTACTGCGTTTTCATTTTAACACGGCATTTTAAAATGAAAACGATCCTCATCCATACTTGGCCATGTGTGTGTGTATATGAAAGTGGAGATATGGTTAGAAAGCATGAAACTCGCATCGTCAGAATCCCAGTCTATCAGTCAAATCCGAAGCAAGATGCAACCCACAGCAATGTGTTATAACAGTGACGCCTCAGTCTGACGGCAGATAAAAGTAAACAGTAAATAAATTACTTTTGAGTGATTTGTTACTAAAGTGCGCATCAAAAGCGCTAAACAAGGAAGCTCAAACGTGTGTGTGGCACTAGACCAGCCCTCACTGGTTCTCACGCATCATGTACATTTGAGCGTCTTCTTTTGCTTTTAATGGCGTGTTAGCAAACCTACTGGAAGGTGCACACCAAACCATTGTTTACACCCAAATATTTCATTTTTTGCAAATTGATTTAAAAATTAGCTGGTTATTTGTTTTGACTTACTGTTTGTGTGCTGTACCTCAGGAGTTCCTGTATCAAGTTCATTACGTCTACTTTCTTCCTTCTCCTCTTCTTCTCTTTGTTTTTCCTGTTTCTGTTTCTCCCATTCCTCTCGTTCTCTCTTCACCTCCACTCGCATCTTTCTCTCTAGTTCTTCTATGTCTTTAATGTCTCTTTTATATTGTTCTTCTGTTTTTAAATATTCCCCATCTCTTCTTTCTCTCTCTTTGTAATAATTTTGTCTTTCTTCCTCCATCATCTTCTTCATTCTGTCTCTCTCTTCTTCATGTTTGAACTGAAGTTCTTCTCTCTCTCTCAGTCTTCTTTCTCTCTCACGTTTAAGTTTATCATAATATTCATCCCATGTTTCCTTTTCTATCTTTCTCCTTCTCTCATCCTCTTCTTCTCTTCTCTTTCTCTCTTTCTCATGATTCTGTCTTTCTTCCTCCATCATCATCTTCATTCTCTCTTTCTCTTCTTTAAGTCTCTGATTATAGTCCTCCCACATTGCCTGTTCTTTGTTTCTCCATTTCTCCTCCTCTTCTTCTCTTCTTTGTCTCTCCTGTTGTTTCTGTTTCTCCCATTCCTCTCGTTCTCTCTTCATCTCCTCTCGTATCTTTCTCTCTTGTTCCTCACATTCTTTAATGTCTCTTTTATATCGTTCCTCTCTTTCTCTAAATTCATCTTCTCTTCTCTTTCTCTCTTTCTCATGATTCTGCCTTTCTTTCTCCATCCTCTTTTTCTCTTCTTCATGTTTGTTCATCAGTTCTTCTTTTTCTCTGTTCACTTGCTCCACTTTCTCCATCAGTATCTTCATCTGTTGTTCTTGTAATTCTCTCTCCATCTCTCTGAACATCTTACATGAGTAGTAACTCCCTCCGTTCTCTTTCACCATGTTGTCTATCTTCTGCAGTAGATCAGTCACCTGTGTTCGGTCTCCAGTCTCTTTATTATTGAACACATGGAATCTGTTTCCACACGCTTCAATCAGCTGATTCAAATCAGATCCAGGTTTTCCCAAACACTGATCAATGGTTTTATCATTCAGATCATCTCCTCTGGTGAAGAGCACCATGGTGTACTTTACAGAGTTTTCACCAAACGTCTCTTGGATTATCTTTACTGATGTTTTCTCTTCTTGAGTGAATCGCTGTCCTAAATTGAGCACAATGATGAACACATGTGGTCCAGGCAGGATCATGGGGATGCAGTTGCTGATTTCTCTCTTGATTTCTTCATTACTGAGTACAGTATCAAACAGTCCTGGAGTGTCGATCACAGTAATGTGTCTGCTGTTGATTTCAGCTGTCTCTCTATGACACACTGTAGTAACAGACTCTTGAGATGTTTCAGCTTCAAACATGACTCTTCCTAAAATGGTGTTTCCAGTTGAACTCTTCCCAGCTCCAGTTTTTCCCAGCAGCACAATCCTCAGTTCATCTTCTCTTTCTCTTGAATCTGAAGATGGACCAAATACAAATGAAAAACAATACATTGAATTTTAAGTTAAGATTTTCAATTAACCAGTTCATCAGAGAATATTATGTATAATTTATACTGAAGCATCATGTGCTAATCATATTGTACTCTGCATATAATGTTACTGTTTTGTCTCTGTGTAAAATCTGTGTAGACTTTAGTAATCATGAAAAGTTTTCTAATCATTACCTTGTGACTGAAACCATGTCTCTAATGAATAGATTCTCCTCTTCATTTCTTCAAATTTCTGCAGTTTGTCCATCTGTGCATCCATCAATGTCTCTGTGGAGAAACAAACACCACTGTTTTCCTCAACCATCTGCTCCAGTTTCTCCATCAACACAGACACTTGTGTGTTCAGGTCAATGAAATGATGTCGTCCTCCAAAACTCTCAGTGACAGACTGTGTTTCTTCATTGAGTTCTGCTGTCTGATGCTCTGGATTCTGCTTTATGAGGATCATGATGTGTTTGTTGACTCTTGAGCTGAAGATCCTCTGGATCTCCTCTATTTCTGCTCTGTCTTCATCAGTCAGTGGAGCATCAGGAATGATGAGGATGAACACATGAACTCCAGGATGACAGAGAGACACACAGCGGTGAGTCTGACGCATCACGTCCTCCTCTGAGAGCTGAGTGTTGAACAGAGCTGGAAGCTCCACCAGACTGATCAGACGTCCATCAAGCTCCACGTCTCTCCTCACACACTCTGAGCTGAGCTCTGATCTTCTCTCGCTCTGCTTCAGGATCAGGTTTGATATGAAGGATTTAAATCCTCTGTTACTCCCACACACAACCAGATTCAGCTTCACACCCTCTGGAATGGTGACAAAGGAATAAACTAGTTAAACAATGTGATTTTAAATTTGATCAATGCTGCATTCATATGTTGGAATTATGGTAATCATCACTTCACTGTAATTTACTAGTTTCCCACTAGTAAAAGCCTTTCATGTCTTTCATGCCTATTATTGTATTCACACAAAGATTATTTATTCAGAGAAATAAATGAATCCACTCACCCAGTGTCTTGATCTTCTGCTGTAGCTCTTTGACTTCATTATCTCTCACTCTTAGTTTCTCCTCTAGTTCATGTCTGACTTTCTTCTCTGGAGCTCTTATGTGCATCTGAAGAGAATAGGGTTCAATCTTCATGCTGTCTATACGATCAAACAGATCTGAGATCTTTTCTGAGCTTCTCTGGTCCTTTAAACCCATCACACTGTACAAGCTGCCATAGAGACTCACAAAATCTATCATACTTTGGTCAAGTTCAGTAATGAAAAGCAACATGAAGTGCTCATTAAAGTTAAATATTCCTTTGATCTTCTCCATTTCTGCTCTTTCGTCATTAGTAAGTGGACAGACAGGACTAACAAGGATGAAAAGATGAACTCCAGGATCACAGAGAGACAGACAGTGGAAAGTCTCCCGCATCACTTCCTCCTCTGAGAGCCGAGTGAGAGCTGGAAGCTCTATTACACTGATCTGCCGTCCATGAATCGTTCCCTCTCTCTTCTGACACACTCTACTCATCTCTTTCTGAGATTTACTTGTTATCCCTCTAAACATTTTAGACACAGAGTTCTTGAGTGTTGGATTATTTCCACACAGCACAATGTTCAGCTTTGCTTTTCCTGTAGTCATCACTGAAATCAAGATTCAGAGACAGTAGACTCAGATCAGTTTTGGTACCAAATGTACACTTCCTTAAACAACAACAAAAATATTACATTGTAAAATATAATTACATCACAATAAAAGTGAAAGTGACATGACATGTGGCCAAGTATGGTGACCCATACTCAGAATTAGTGCTCTGCATTTATTTCATCCAAAGTCCACACACACACACACAGCAGTGAACACGCACCCGGAGCAGTGGGCAGCCATTTGTGCTGCAGCACCCGGGGAGCAGTTGGGGGTTCGGTGCCTTGCTCAAGGGCACCTCAGTCGTGGTATTGAAGGTGGGAGAGAGCACTGTACATTCACTCCCCCCACCTACATTCCCTGCCGGTACTAGACTCGAACCCGCAACCTTCTCTCTATCCATTCTCTATCCATTAGGCCACGACTTCCCCCCCAATACATGCTTTTATCAACTGAAAGCTACCTTACAATAGTTTACTGACTTTCTTTTTGGGCGAGAGCTGTGGGAATGAAGCGAGGCCGGTGGAGTAAATGATAATGAGCAACACCTGCACCATGCATCGGTCTCTAGTAGGGTGACCACTAGGGCTGCATGATTAATCGAAATTAAATCGCAAAGGCGATAAATCGCGACTAGGCAGAAGCTGCGATTGTCATGTGTATCTTTCAGTGAAGCATGGCTCTGTGATCAGCAATAATCCGAAGGCCAGAGTGCGCTCTTGCACTGAAACTCCAAATACGCCCCGCAGAAGAAATCCAGGAAATCCCTATAGTGGTTGCTGAATAAACAGAAGATTTAACTGCTTTCATTAATTCAACGTATGACTAATAAACACAGGACTACAACAATATATGGTTTATCTGAGTTTGTCTTATTATAATTTTTATTATAATAAAGTATATAATAATGCAATGCTGATCGACATAGCCTTTATCACTGCTATCACTGACATTATGAAGTGAGTTTGGAGTAAAAACATGTTATTAAATGTGGTATTTTCACATGCTTTCAGATGGAGCTGCATTTACTACACAGAGTTGTAGTTCACTGACAAGCTACGCAAAAAGCTTTCATAATCGCAGAACGATCTGCGATTATGAACGCAATTTTGCGTAGCTTGTCAGTGAACTACGGCTCTGTGTAGTAAATGCCCCTCCATCTGAAAGCACGTGATGGAGATTTACTATTAATCACAGAACCGGCTTTACTGACAAGATGCACATGACAATCACATTCGATTAATCGTGCAGCCCTAGTGACCACCCGTCCCCCTTTGTGTTGTACCGCACAGCATTTTCACTCTTTGTCCCGCACGTCGCTTATTGAGAAAATGTCCCGCATTTTCATCAGACTGTTGGTTTTTAATTGTCATATTAAGAAAATGTACATATGTTCTTTTGCCTTTTTTTAAGAAAGCTTTTTATTTATTCTTTTTGTGGCGTAGCTTTCATGCAAAGGATGTGCGGACCTCATCAGTCTGCATTGGGGCAGTCGTGGCCTAATGGTTAGAGAGTCCGACTTGTAACCCAAAGGTTGTGGATTCAAGTCTCAGGGCCGGCAGCGATTGTAGGTGGGAGGAATCAATAACCAGTGTTCTCTTCCACCCTCAATACCACGACTGAGGTGAGACCCTTGAGAAAGGCACCGAATCCCCAACTGCTCCCTGGGCGCCACAGCATTAGCTGCCCACTGCTCTGGGTGTGTGTTCACGGTGTGTGTTCATGGTGTGTGTGTGCACTTGGATGGGTTAAATGCAGAGCAAAAACTCTTGAGTATGGGTCGCCACACTTCACTTTCACTTTTCACTTTTATCAAGTTATCTAGCACCACTGATGGAAATGGTCGAGTGCACACGGAAAAACACAATAATCTCCATTTATTTTAACCAATTAAAAAAATTGATGTAGCCTTCAGACACTACTTTCTTCTTATTTCAATAGTTTGAGGTGGTTTCTATGGCGTTATTTTAATGGCAAATGTCCAGAGTGCATTATTGTAATGCAAGGGCACATCAAAATGCACGCGCACAAATCTCTTCTCTCGCAGGTGGATTCTCTTCACTCTCACATAAAACGGACTCGCTTTCTCTCGCTTACATGTGCGTGCTCAGAAACATAAATAAGCGCATATGACAACGGATGTAAATCAGTATTTACAAAGCATAACAATAGTAAATGTATCTGTCTCACACGTGTCCCGCATTGTCCCGCAAAATCACATCTACTGTCCCGCAACAGATCTATTGCCAGGTGGTCACCCTAGTCTCGAGTCCCACAGAGGAGCTCCAGAAGGATAAAAGGAGGAGTGACGACAGTGAAGAATGAGAGCGGAACAGGCCTGGACTATTTATGTTTTTTTTTATTGTGTTTATGCAGCAGTCGTCCATGAGGGGCAGCCTCTTTACTTTTGTTTTGTTGTTTATTTTAATATTAAAATTTATGTTAAGCGTCTGCCGGTTCCCGCCTCCTCTTTCCCGTAACTACGAACTTTGTTACAATCGTATACCCATGTGTTGATACAAGCACATATAATTTTTTTTCCCCACTGAAAGGGGCTTTTTAGTAGAATGTCAAAGTTTGGTGTCAATATTTCAAAGCTTTGCAGAGATACAGCCTCAGAGTCATCTTTGTTGCAGCGCTATACAGAAACAGTTTTGTCAATTGACATGAAATCCACTTTTTGTCAGCACAGTCTGAAGGTGATCTAACTTAAATTTGGTTCAAATCAGACAAACTATCTAAAAATAGATGTTTTTAAAGAAAATGAAAATGGCGGACAGGAAGTTCGGTTGACTATGGCAAAATTGGCATCTATGTTCATGCATGACCCAAGGAATATTTTGATAACAGTTTGATTACAATAGACTAATTTAGTCAAAATTTATTAGCATTTTTGGAAATTTTATTGTTAATGGTTAATGACTTCATATGAACGGTTTATTACTTTTGACCAATAGGTGGTGTAGTTACCAAATTGATGTGGCATGGTCAGTGTGAGGTGACAATGGCACATACAAAGTTTGGTGTCAATATGTCAAAGCTTTGCAGAGATACAGCCTCAGACGCAGTCTGGCATCATTCCAGCAAATTAGTTGATGCGTTAAACGATTTAATTTAAAGCCATTTCATATACCGACACAAAATCCATAACTTTTTGCCAGCATTGTCTGAAGATGATCTGAGTCAAATTTGGTGAAAGTTGGACAAACAATCAAGGAGAAGTTAAAAAAAGTAGGATTTCAACATAAATCAAAATGGTGGACAGGAAGTTTGGCTGAATATGGCAAAATTGATATGTATGTTCTCTGCATGACCCAGGAAATTTTTTGAGACCAGGTTCATTACAATAGGTTAATTTAATTAAAAGTTATTAACATTTTTGGAAATTATATTATAACTTTTGTCCACAAGGTGAAACTTTTTGAGTACTATCAGGCATGTCACTATCAGACACATACCGAGTTTCGTAACAATACGTTAATGCGTTAGTAAAATATAGCATTTTACAACAAAATTCAAAATGGACAATGCCCAAAATGGCTGATATGAGAAAATTCCATAACTTTTTGCCAGCATGGTCTGAAGATGATCTGAGGAAATTTTGGTGAAAATCAGATAAACCGTCTAGGACAAGTTTGGAAAAGTAAGTTTTTCGAACGATTCAAAATTGTGAAAAATCTTGAACCATAAATTTTAACATTTTGGTGAGCATTCGACTTGGCATGAGCCAAGGAATCAGAGAAAAAAAATAATTTTGTGTAAACTTTATAGTTCAAAAGTTGTTAGCATAAACATATGACCACATTTGAACTGTTGGTGGTGCTAGAGGGTTTGAGTTAGAAACCCAAACTTGCAATGGTTAATGCTGAGACTCTCCTCTATCTGTGTGCCAAATTTCATAACTTCCCCACAAGGGGTTCTATGTGCTGCCAAAGACTTTATGAGCGGAAGAAGAAGAAGAAGAAGAAGAAAAATACCTTCTGTGCTTGGCCCCTAAATATAGCTGCAAGCAGCAATTAAGGGGCCAAGCACAACAGTGGCAGAATGAAGATCTAAGCATGGCAGGGAGGATCATTATAAACATTTTAGAAGCTTAGTTAAAACAGATAAGTAAAAAGAATAAATAGTAGTTCATGTCCTGTGGTAGTACTCCTCATTTTTCTCCCTGTCATTTCCTGTTTGGACTACTGCAAATTAACTATTAAAAGACATAACTCATAAGAATACTAGGTATTATTCTGAAAAAAATGATTTTGACAAACCTCCTCCATCACTTGCTGTTTTTGTGCTCTCGTTGAGATCAGAATCCTTCTCTTTGTCGTCTCCTCTGACTGAAGCTCCATCCACTGATGATCCATCATCCTCATACATGTCACAGATGAGAAATTCTTTGTGTTCTTTCTTGAGTATCTTCTCTATTTTTCTGAAAAACTCAGATCGCCATCCTGGGTTTGTTGTATCAAACTGTAGATGTCCTCCTCCACACTCCTTTATTAAATCATGAATAACATTATTCCATATCACAGAAGCCAGTTTGGATGTGCGTGGCTCTTCATCAGTAGTCAGCACTATAGTGTGTTTCATAAGAATGAGAGCGGAACAGGCCTGGACTATTTATGTTTTTTTTTATTGTGTTTATGCAGCAGTCGTCCATGAGGGGCAGCCTCTTTACTTTTGTTTTGTTGTTTATTTTAATATTAAAATTTATGTTAAGCGTCTGCCGGTTCCCGCCTCCTCTTTCCCGTAACTACGAACTTTGTTACAATCGTATACCCATGTGTTGATACAAGCACATATAATTTTTTTTCCCCACTGAAAGGGGCTTTTTAGTAGAATGTCAAAGTTTGGTGTCAATATTTCAAAGCTTTGCAGAGATACAGCCTCAGAGTCATCTTTGTTGCAGCGCTATACAGAAACAGTTTTGTCAATTGACATGAAATCCACTTTTTGTCAGCACAGTCTGAAGGTGATCTAACTTAAATTTGGTTCAAATCAGACAAACTATCTAAAAATAGATGTTTTTAAAGAAAATGAAAATGGCGGACAGGAAGTTCGGTTGACTATGGCAAAATTGGCATCTATGTTCATGCATGACCCAAGGAATATTTTGATAACAGTTTGATTACAATAGACTAATTTAGTCAAAATTTATTAGCATTTTTGGAAATTTTATTGTTAATGGTTAATGACTTCATATGAACGGTTTATTACTTTTGACCAATAGGTGGTGTAGTTACCAAATTGATGTGGCATGGTCAGTGTGAGGTGACAATGGCACATACAAAGTTTGGTGTCAATATGTCAATAACATTATTCCATATCACAGAAGCCAGTTTGGATGTGCGTGGCTCTTCATCAGTAGTCAGCACTATAGTGTGTTTCATGGCCTGCTTACTGAAGAGGTTCAGCACATATTTCACTCTGTGTCTGTCGTTCTCACTGAAGTTGTTATACTGAAGTACGAGTACAAACACATGAGGTCCTGGAGCAGACAGAGACACACACTCTCTCACTCCCTGTGTGATCTGTTGATGTAAGAGATTTGGCTGGAGCAGGTGAGTGTTGATGACTGTGATGTGTCTCCCCTCCACCTCTCCTCTGATTTTCATACTGTGCTGCTGTAAATAGTATGGAGCTTCTCTGTTAAACACTTCTGTACCCACTGTAATGTTTCCCACTCGGCTGTTTTCTGATCCATTATTTCCTAGCAGCACAATCCTCAGATCACTCACTGCAAAAGTGTACAGACAGAAACAAAGAAACACAGACGTTAAGTTTTCATGTTTTATGGGGACTTTCTATAGATGTGATGATATTTATACTGTTTTAATAAAAATCCCCCTAACTCTAAATACAACCTTCACAGAAACCTTCTGATTTTTACATTCTTTGAAAAAACAAAAACAAAAAATAAATGTCCCACAAGTTCAAATATTTTTGGTTTTACTATCCTGTGTGCTTAGTTCAGGTAAACCTTATGTTGTGGGGACCACACACACAGACACTCTCCATAGGTGTAATGGTTTTGCTACTGTACAAACTGTATTTTATATCCCCTAAGCTAACCCTACCCATAAACCTACCCCTCACACAAAACTACAGCCATTTTTAGATTTTCAAAACACTTCATTCTGGATGATTTATAAGCTGTTTTCCTCATGGGGACCAAAACATTTTCCCACAAAATTAAAATGTATTGGTATTACTATCCTTGTGGGGAACGTAGGAAATATCAGGTACACACACACACACACACACACACACACACACAAACACACACAGACAAAATGCAAAAAAAACACTGCACACACATCTCACACAAATCTCAGAAATATTATATGTTAGTCTATCACCAACAGGAGGTGGAATTGTGTGTCTGCTGTCTGTGCAGAGATACAGCCTCAGAGTCATCTTTGTTGCAGCGCTATACAGAAACAGTTTTGTCAATTGACATGAAATCCACTTTTTGTCAGCACAGTCTGAAGGTGATCTAACTTAAATTTGGTTCAAATCAGACAAACTATCTAAAAATAGATGTTTTTAAAGAAAATGAAAATGGCGGACAGGAAGTTCGGTTGACTATGGCAAAATTGGCATCTATGTTCATGCATGACCCAAGGAATATTTTGATAACAGTTTGATTACAATAGACTAATTTAGTCAAAATTTATTAGCATTTTTGGAAATTTTATTGTTAATGGTTAATGACTTCATATGAACGGTTTATTACTTTTGACCAATAGGTGGTGTAGTTACCAAATTGATGTGGCATGGTCAGTGTGAGGTGACAATGGCACATACAAAGTTTGGTGTCAATATGTCAAAGCTTTGCAGAGATACAGCCTCAGACGCAGTCTGGCATCATTCCAGCAAATTAGTTGATGCGTTAAACGATTTAATTTAAAGCCATTTCATATACCGACACAAAATCCATAACTTTTTGCCAGCATTGTCTGAAGATGATCTGAGTCAAATTTGGTGAAAGTTGGACAAACAATCAAGGAGAAGTTAAAAAAAGTAGGATTTCAACATAAATCAAAATGGTGGACAGGAAGTTTGGCTGAATATGGCAAAATTGATATGTATGTTCTCTGCATGACCCAGGAAATTTTTTGAGACCAGGTTCATTACAATAGGTTAATTTAATTAAAAGTTATTAACATTTTTGGAAATTATATTATAACTTTTGTCCACAAGGTGAAACTTTTTGAGTACTATCAGGCATGTCACTATCAGACACATACCGAGTTTCGTAACAATACGTTAATGCGTTAGTAAAATATAGCATTTTACAACAAAATTCAAAATGGACAATGCCCAAAATGGCTGATATGAGAAAATTCCATAACTTTTTGCCAGCATGGTCTGAAGATGATCTGAGGAAATTTTGGTGAAAATCAGATAAACCGTCTAGGACAAGTTTGGAAAAGTAAGTTTTTCGAACGATTCAAAATTGTGAAAAATCTTGAACCATAAATTTTAACATTTTGGTGAGCATTCGACTTGGCATGAGCCAAGGAATCAGAGAAAAAAAATAATTTTGTGTAAACTTTATAGTTCAAAAGTTGTTAGCATAAACATATGACCACATTTGAACTGTTGGTGGTGCTAGAGGGTTTGAGTTAGAAACCCAAACTTGCAATGGTTAATGCTGAGACTCTCCTCTATCTGTGTGCCAAATTTCATAACTTCCCCACAAGGGGTTCTATGTGCTGCCAAAGACTTTATGAGCGGAAGAAGAAGAAGAAGAAGAAGAAAAATACCTTCTGTGCTTGGCCCCTAAATATAGCTGCAAGCAGCAATTAAGGGGCCAAGCACAACAGTGGCAGAATGAAGATCTAAGCATGGCAGGGAGGATCAGACCAAAGACAACAATGAGTAATTTGGTGAAAATTGGACCAACAGATTAGGAGGAGTTTGAAAAAGTATGTTTTCAATGTAAATCAAAATGGCGTACAGGAAGTTCAGCTGATTATGGAGCATTGGAGCATTTTGGAAAATTCTAAATGACAGAAAAATTTTAATGACGGAAAATCACACACGGTGCAATCGAATCGGCTTAAGTAGGAATCAGAGGAAAAAATAATTTTGTTTCTAGCCCTTATAGTGGCACTAGAGGGATTGAGTTAGAGACTCCAAATTTGCTATGGTGACCGCTTAGTCTGTCCTCTATATGTGTGCCAAATTTCATAACTTTCGTGCAAGCAGTTCTATGGGCTGCCGTAGACTTCTAGAGCAGAACAAGAAGAAGAAGAACACCAACAATTACAAAAGGTGCCTACACAGTACGCACCTTCTGTGCTTGGCTGAGGAAAAAAATTAATTTGAGTTGTTCTCATGCTGTGCTCTCTCCTGTCAGTGTGGTGTGTTGTGTGTTTGGAAATCCAGATGCTCAGGTTCCATGTTTAGTCTTGTGTTGAGAGCACTCATGGGGACTCTTTTTCCCCGTTCCATGTATTATCATTTTTGGGTGAACAGTGACAGTATTATCCAAATTATTTCTGAAGTCTGTATTCAGCTGCATACTTTGTCTTTCTGTTCAAATATATATATATATATATATATATATATATATATTTTTTTTATAAACATTTTTATGCAGCTGAATACACACAAGTGATCACCATGATTTTTTTGTTGTATGAAAAAGAGCATCAGAGTGACAGAATTTTAAAACAAATGGCCTTTAGAAGCTGCAACCTGATTGGACGTAATGCATTTGGACGCATGCTACCATTCTTCAAAAATCATCCTAATATGTAAACATTTCTGATTATTATCAATGTTGAAAACAGTTGTGCTGCTAAATATTTTTGTAGAAACCATTATACTGATATTTTTTCAGGATAGAAGATTCAAAAGCACATAATTTATTTGAAATAAAAATATTTTGTAGCATTATAAATGTCTTTAAATGATCAATTTGATGTATTCTTGTTCAATAAAAGTATTCCTATCTGTATTAA